TGCCTTTTAATACCGCTGTGTCGATTTTTGAGAAGCGGCAGCGTATTAGGACACCCGAGTTCTGGGACAGTACTGGCCTGGACATGATTCGTTTATGCTTGGACTTCCTTTCATTTTTGTTGTACCATTGAACACGCACTTTTACTAAACTATTTGATTACATGCGATAGGTAATGAGAGTTTCAATGCATCACCTTTTTAAACTTTTGAAATGATTCTTCGTTGGAGTTACTCTATATATACTTTGTATGTTGTTCTCCGCATAGGCCGAATTCGTGCTCAGAGATTTTATCAAGCTACTCAGTCTGGAGTATGCTACGGCATAGGCGTGGAGAGATTGGATTTGAATGGAAGTTACCATGTAACGTTCCTCCTTCGTATTGAAAGAAACCATATCGTTGAGAATTTCAGGCACATCATCCTCTGTTTGATAGGATCATCTATGACGCCTGTTGATCCCACTTCCCAGCATTTCCTCTGATGTTTTAATGAGTTTGCGTGGGAGTGGACTGGAAATCGTTGTGAGCGTAGAGGCTTGCGCACTTATTGGAGTTCCTTAGGTTTGGAAGCCTGCCTGTGAGAATGTTGCCCAAATTGGTGTGGAGTATGACATCCAAAAGTTAGCATCTGTATGTAAAAATCGCCTGGTAGTATCATTCCCAAGAGCAGTCATTGCCGGTAAGAAGTGACGGCTTACGAAAAATGTCGGGTGTATAGATACCTTAGGCGTAATGATTTTATGCGAAGTTTTCTGTAATTGTAGTGAGGAATTTCACTTCAAGTACTTTCTCTCCTTGGTTATTGCTAGTGCCAGTTGTGTTGTTTCTCGAAGTCGAAGAACACTTGTGTTTTCAAAAGTAAACCCGGAGATTGTCCCGGCGTAAAGTCTAGGTAATTGAAGAGTGTCAAATAAATCGTCGATAATTCTTGAATACTATGTTATGTTTGGCCTCTCAGACATGATTTGAGTTGAGAAAAGTGTAGTATCATCCAATTGTGTTCTGTTTCCAACGAGTGTGGCAAATCTTGGTGAAGATTCTGGATAATCCAGAAGAATGCCGTCAAATGTGGACAGCTCATTTTTACCAAGAATGAATGCATCAAGGAAGTTCAACAAGGAAGCGTTGAGAGGATTTGGATAGTACTTGATGAATACGGTCCTCATCTTGGGTGTTAGCCTCTCAATGGAGTTTAAAATTGTGTCCGTATTTTCTGGTTGTTTGACGGCTTCATTAATAATAGTACGATGATCGGTACATTTTTCAAGATAATCGTCAAAAGTTTGATGCTCATCGGGTTTGACTGTAAAAAGAGAGTCCATTTACTATCCACCTTTGCGATCTTGGAGTAGGACTAGATTGCGCGAGCGGAAGTGATTTTGAAGTGTAGAGTTGATCTCTTCTCATCAATTTTTAGAAGTTTGGAGAGGTGGTGAGGAGTACTTGAA